ACAATTCTTACCTTTCTTCCAATATTCTTATCTTCTATTATTTCTCTAAAATTCCTTTTTATTCTTACTCTTCCAAATCCTTCCAAGGTTTACTGTTCATTATTTTCAAATCAGTTACATACATGTCTGCTATAATTCACCAAATAATTCTAATTCAAACATAGAAATCTTTTAACAGATTTCTAAATTTCCACTTACCGGAACTGTTGAATTGTTCTTCAGAAAATCCTTCTACAATGAACCACAGTTTTTCTACAGAGTGCAGAAATTTTCTCTTCAGTCTTCACTAGCCGAATTCTGCTGCAACCGAACATTACTGCAGTGCAAATACTCCATACCGAATTGAACTACAGGACCCGCGTCACTGTAGCGAACTATGCTACAGTGATTTCTGCGATTCTTTCTTCACAAATCAGCGACATTTGCTACAGTCGGGAGAGTGAAGTTCCGAACTCTCTCTCAGGGATGAATTTCTGCACCGAAAACTTCTACAGGAGGCCTTTTTGGATGCATTTTGAATGTTGATAAGGATCAAAGAGTGGACCCCACAACTCTAACTGCTCTCAAAATAACCAAAGGGAAGCATCTATTCAAAACACACATATATTTAATATTTTGTTTAACAAGATATATATATTTAATAAAGACTAATTTATATTTAATTAAACTTAGTTAATTACCAAGAAATTTGGGTTGTTACAATTCTTCCCTCCTTAATAGAATTTCGTCCCCGAAATTCAACTTTTCATACTTTTTCAAACAAGTGAGGAAACCTCTGTTTCAATTCTGCTTCCCTTTCCCAAGTAGCATGCTTTATTGATCTATGCTTCCATTTCACCTGTACAAAAGGAATCATTCTGGTTCTGAGTTTACGAACATCTCTATCCAATATCATTTCCGATTCTTCAACATATGTCAAATCTTTCTGAAGTTCAATATCTTTCTTAAGAACTCTTTGATTTTCATCTGTAACCCACTTTCTGAGCATTGATACATGAAAAACATTATGTATTTCGGACATATCTGAAGGTAGAGCCAATTTGTAAGCTACTTGCCCCACTCTTTCAATAATTTCAAACGGACCAATAAATCTAGGACTGAGTTTCCCACTTTGGCCAAATCTAGAAATACCTTTCATTGGCCCCACCTTCAAGAATACAAAATCTCCCACATCAAATTCT